AGAGATGTATGGATGCAATATGAGAGTCATACACAATATTAATTCTTTTTCCACGGCAACATGACTTGTATTCTATATTATATTCTATTCTGTACATTATTTCTGTCAAGTGACAAGACTTTTGTCTGAGCAAAGTCAGACCTTACTGTCCTAATAATCAAAAATCAAGGCATGATCATATTTTATTTTGATAAAATAAGCGTAATCTAGAGGCCTTTGTCTTGTATATTAGCCACTTCTGATACCAAATGATAAACTAGAAGTCAATTTAATATTTGTTGTTCCTAAAACTTTCATAGGTGACAAGACTCTTATCACGTAGTGTATTAACATATTTATTATTCACAATCACAAAATGTAGGCTGTTCCCTCAACAAAACCTACCCAAAAACAGTGCATTTTAAATGTCGCTGGATATTACAGTTCAGAATATTTCTTTGAGCAATATCTAGAACATTGTATAGAATTTGTGCTATCTGTCAGAACAAAACACCAATGGTTGTTGATTTCTTTTAATGAGAGTGTTTATGTTTTTAGGGTAGCATAAGCTTTTTAAGTTCGCCTTATACACTACTCTTTCTCAGCCATGTAAGCAAAGGGATTTCCTCCAGGAAATGTAATTCCAGATTCATCTTGTTCTTTCTGTTATAAGAACAAGATGACATTCGGACAGATCATGTTTGGACAGCGCAACATCTGTCCCGCACACTCCAAGGCAGAAATGCAAATTCCCTTTAATGTTGCTAATGCTGCTCAGACCGGTTTTCTCTGCACTCTCCTGCTCTCGCTGAGGCATCAGAGACGGCCTCTGCTGTAATCAGTTCAGCCCGGTCGTTATGTTTTGGCAAAGCCTCTGGCACAGGGGAAACCTGGGCTTCTCAGTTTCCTTCTCGAAAACACTTTCAGCACCAGCTGTTGGAGAAGTATTCAGACGCCCTGGAGATGACCCACAATTATGAAAATGAGGTATTAATAGATTTAAATTACATCCAAATGGCTGTCTTGTAGATGCACGAGGAGCGCTGCCTTTTTTCAGCTGAAATCATTAGGAAAACTAGCTGGATAAGGTTCAGCAGATGTGGTCACTTGTTTCACTTGTGTATGCGTGTTTTTCGAAATCTAGAGAAAGTGCAGGAGATAATATACAGAACTGTCTTTCTAGCAGTTTGTTGCAGAACACAGTGCAGACCATAGTAGAGGTGAAGGTGCAGGAAATTGGTTTCACATTTTGTAATTATGAATATGTTCACAATGCGAAGCTTATTTCTCTGTGCACTCAGTTTATGAAGCTGTAAAAACAGGCTTTATTTTTTTAATATAGTCTTAGGAGTATTACAGTAGTAAAAAAGGAATCTGTGTAAATCTCTGTGTTGAGTTCCAGAGGATAGTTTGAGTCAAAACATTTATTGGCAGAATTTGTATATTTATTGTTAAAACTGATTGTTTGCTTGACTGATTTAAGGCTAGATTGCAATCATTCAGCACTTAGCCATAATCTATTACTAATATGTTATCTAATATGACAAAACTTTTCTATAATTTTTGTTATTTGATTTTTTTTAAATAAAGTATAAAGATTGTCATCAGCCATTTGTTTCTTATTTACTAACTTAATGTAATAAAAAAGTGCAATTTATTAGGGATGTCCAGTATATATGTGCGGCATGACATTACTTTGTTGCAGAGACGCTATTGGTTAAATGTTGGAAAAGTAGAACACTGAAGCAGCTTGTAGCAGAAAGTGTGAGTATGTCTGCGGTTCAAAGGTATTACAAAGTTCATGACGACAACATTGTGAGATATGTAAACTTGGCATTGCAGAAGGTGGAAAGGAAATGGCTACATTTAACACAACAAACCTGATAAGACACCTCAAAAACAAATGTTGAACCTCGATTTGAAATGCTGTCTCGCTACTATTTAACCGACAAAGCTCTGCCAGCCCTTAATTAGAAAATTTCTGACAAACTACTTGTCCTGTTATAAGATGTACCCCATGTTTCGTTCACCACAGTCATGCAAAGTTTGTCCTTACCGCGCAATAGATTGACTCCATCGCGTTTCTGTTTCTCCATTCTTCTTTATTTTTTTTATGTATTATAGAAGTATCGGATAGGGTTTCGGTATTTTTTTTGGTTCATTAGTTCATTTTAAAATAAACTTCTTACAATAAAAACATAAACGAGCACATTTATAACAAAGCAGTTCAATGCTAAATACACGAGTCAAGCTGAACCTTCCTTTGCCTTTGATTTGCTTGTCGATGTCTTATATATTGTCCTTCATCTTCGAGTGACAGTTTTTACATTTTTATCTGATTCATCTGTGCATGAATCTGATTCATGCACAACATTTCATTTCAGTTGACTTTTTTTTTGTAGCTTAACAATTAAACAAATAAACAAAAGGTTTACACAGGCCCTACTTTGGATAGGAACATAAATGTATAAATTTTACGGTAATACTTTTTTTTGTCATACATCAATGTTTTTTTATTTTTTTTTAAGTACAAACTACTACACAGCTATAGTGTAATACACACATCTACTAAACACCACAATATGGTAACGTCAAATTTAAGCAATACAAAAAACATTTATCAACATTAAATGTATAACATAAAACTCTAATGGGCATAACTCAAGAGAAAAAAATGAAAAGGACCAATAATGTCAACAAAAAAAAAAAATTAAAAGTGTCACATGCAGGGAATTCTGGAAAATTGAACGGGTGTTCGCTCGCTGTATATAATAAGGAAACTTTCTAAACGGGTTACAGATGTTTACTGTGGCATTTTTATTTATTAATTTTTTTACCAAAAAAATAAATAAAATAGTCACAGACTTCTTTTACAGGGCTGATTTATCAGAAGATGTCATGTTATCATGGAAAATAGGTCTTTGAACCTGGTTCTAGGTTTTACTGTTCCTTCAGTGTCAGTGAAAGACTGTTTCAACAAACTCTCAAGCAGCAAATTGTGTGTTTTAATATAGTTTTTGCACGTATCTTACCTCCTTTGCCTGTGTTTATGCAGTATTCTACTTGCACACATGTCTTACCTCACTCGCCGGAGTGTGCTACTGCTACAAATGACATCAGTCTATACATCATAACCCATTATGGTTTATTGCTAAATCAACACCAAATGCTCCTCATCTGCATCATGATGCACCAGTAGGAATAATTTTGACACCCCTAATAGAAAATCATATAGCCTAATGTTGCAGTTTAAAGCTCTTGTTCTCTCCAAACTGGATTACTGCAACTCTCTACTAGCTGGGCTTCCAGCTAACTCTATCAAGCCTCTTCAACTGCTCCAGAACGCAGCAGCACGAGTGGTCTTCAATGAACCTAAACGAGCACATGTCACTCCGCTGCTACTCCGTTTGCACTGGCTGCCAGTTGCTGCTCGCATCAAATTCAAAGCTCTGATGTTTGCCTACAAAGTGACTAATGGCCTTGCTCCTTCTTATCTGCTCTCACTTCTGCAGATCTATGTGCCCTGAAACTTGCATTCTGTGAATGAACGTCGCCTCGTGGTTCCATCCCAAAGAGGGAAGAAATCACTTTCGCTCACGCTCACGCTCAATCTGCCCAGTTGGTGGAATGAACTCTCTAACTGCATCAGAACAGCAGAGTCACTAGCTATTTTCAAGAAACGACTAAAAACTCAACTATTTAGTCTCCACTTCACTTCCTAATCTGCAATTGCCTCTCTGAATATCACACTAACTGTACCCAAAAAAAAAAAAAAAAATCCTAATACTACTAATACTTCCCTTCTTAGACTTTACAGACCTGAAACTTGCCTATAGCACTTATTCATTGTTGCTCTTAGTTGTGTAAATTGCTTCCTTGTCCTCATTTGTTAGTCGCTTTGGATAAAAGCGTCTGCTAAATGACTAAATGTAAATGTAAAACAACATGAGCTTTTTAAGACTGGACCTTAACAATTACTGTTAATTTGAATGTTACAGAAGCTTGTGAGAAAGTGATGTCAAATAGTGATGGCCCTGCTTTTGAGGTCTTAGATGGGTGTTTTAGATAATAAATATTCATATGCGCATAGATTTTTGTACAACAGTGAACCCTGAGGCAACTGAATTACTTCATATCTGCATTATGAGCCACATAAGGAAGACAGACTCGCGTCGAAGAGTAAAATTACATTTCTGTGTGCTTATGTTATTGTTACAGATTATGTTGTATACAGTGTTGTCCTGTCAGCACATGTTCCAGCACAAGCGGTGGTGATTTTGAGTACATAAACCCAATTTGAGACCGTGGCTCATTTGAAATCCATCCCCGAATGCAGACCCCCATTCAGCATCTCGTGACAAGATGCACTAGGACAGATGAAGTGCTGAAAATGAAACAATTTCCTGGTCTAATCCGACAAGGTTGCACAAGGGCCTGCGTCTTTGGGGAGGGCTGAGAGATTTATCTTCCTCGGACACCCCCTCCTGTTGGACCTGCCTGGCAGTTCCTGTAACCCAATCCTCTTTTACTGTGGTACTTATCTGAAGATCCATGAACAGGTTTGGGGCGAACTCTGCGTACTACACCTGGCTGAACAACAGAGGATGATATTCACTTGAGTGTCACAAAACATCTGATAGTCCTCTTGACTCCAAACGCTTAGTCTTTTGTGCACCAAGTTACTAAAGAACCTCTTGAATTGATTACATGGTTGTCCATCACTCAAGCATTGGGGTCCTTTTATGCTCTGGTTCAGTTTTAGCAGCATTTTTAACTAAAGTAAACCAGTATGCCTTTTGTTTTAAGCTGTAAACTAAGAATATTTGTGCAATTATTAGAAATTCTGCATTTTAATCCAGTTTAAAACATTATTTTATTAGGAATTGTAATTGGTTTCAGTGTGTTTCATTCACATGCTGTGCTCCTGGAGAGTTCTTAGATGATGTCTGTAATAACTGAGCAGTAATTTACTGTCAGACATGTTTAATTAACTTGTGATTGATGATTTTTTGTGTCCGCAGGCTCAGCTCAACCTCCTGATGGTCCTGCATCGTCTAGCGGAGGAGTGTAGGGTAAAAGCTTTTGAGGAAAAATCAGCAACCATCAAAACTCACCATGTTCGAGCTGTTGCAAAGGTATCAAACAAAGCTGTCGTAAGAATTATTCAAACTAGGGCCTTTAATCTGCATTAGTTCAGTTTGCAGAATGAAACTTACAAATAGTATCGCCCACAGTATCGAGTAGCTGACTATGTGGATTGATGTCATTTTGATTTATTCTCAGCAAAAGCAAAAATGTATCATAATATAGTCAAAAATCGGGGAATATTAATATTTAATAATCTTCTGCACAGCATGGGTGCATTTATTTGATAAAAAGCAATAAAATCAGTAATATTTAGGCATGCACTGATATGGATTTTTTGGCCTATATCGATAACCGATAACTTTTTAAATTTGGAAGCCGGTAACCGATATACTATAGTCGATATATTTTTATATAGTAAACAACAGATTTTATTTTAAAAACTTCAGAAAAGTTTAAACTGGTCTTATGAATTGAATAGCCTACTCAAAGCAAAAAAGCACTCATTTCAAAATTGCAAGGTGAGTATATAAATATATTCACGATTTCACATGAATCCAAAAATAAATTATTTTCTTTTTTTCGCTTAGCAAATTACCATTCAACTTGACTGTTGCATATAAAAAACATTGGTTCAGTAACAAAATGGGATTTAATTTACAAACAAGTAAAATAAGTAGATTTTAAATAAAATGAAAATGAAAGAACTAAGAACTGAATCCAGCTAAAATGTTCTTGAATAAAATGTGTTACAGTAATGTGCATTTTAAAAATATGTAATATCTGAAAAAGCGTATTTAGAGGTGTTTTGACAGTTCAGAGCCACTGTACAAGCAAAAAGCTAAATAAAGATAGTATTACTTTAGAAAATGTGCATACACTTGTCCCATTTGGCATTTTAGACTATTTTGAACATATGCAGGTGCTGCTTGTCAATCAGACAGCACTTCTATGTTTATTCTTGCTGTCAATTGCGGGAAAAATTATCAATGAAATGTTTATGTTAAACTGTTGTGAGTTTGAAACTTTAACTGCGGGCGCTGTGTGATGTGTGTCTTATGTTTACACGTTTAATTTTTCTTGAGGCGATTAAAACCAAAATACACAATGACACTATCAAACATATCTACAATGATAAGGAATATGGTTACTTACTGAGATATTAACGCACAGCGGTACCACACAAAGAAAGGACGAACTTTTAAGGAATAAACAATGTGAGGTGAGCTTCGTTATAGTGCACTGGACAAGTCGGTAAAAATTTCAACCCCTGAACACGTGAGGCAGGCAGTTCTGTACATTTACATAATCGATCAGCTTAAAGACATCGGCCTTATTTAGACATCGGACCAATAATGATAGCATTAAAAATAGCTTTTATCGACCAATAACGATAGGGTCGTCGATATATCTTGCATCCCTAGTAATATTGTAAGATTTTGTTACAAATATATATTTTTATTTACCTACTTTTACATTTAGCAAAATGTCTTTTCTTTACAAAACAAAAAAAACCAAATCTCCAATAATATTGAGAAATTTAATTAATGACTGAGCAATCACAATATTTTGAAAAACATTTCATTTATTTTCATAGATTTTTGGTATGTAATGCATATATGGCAGTTTTTTTGTGTGTGACTATTTTAGTTGTTTATATTGTATTAAATTATAAGAGACTTAAATTAAATGTTATATTGATTATTAATACGATTGGAAGCAAATTCATTTGTATTTCTTCTTTTCCTATTTTTTTTATTGTTACCCTCTTTCAGTGCTGAGATCTGTTTGCATTGGTGTTTTAACCCTTTTATAAAACATTCATTCAAACTCTCATTGGCAAAACCCTAAAGGGGATAATGAGGGTTATTACAAGACTTTTAGGACTTCATAACTTTACTCACCATATATGATTCTTTTTTCTGGGAGTAAATTTTGTCTTTTTTTGTCCACTTTGGATTGCCTCTGTGGGTTTTTATGAGTGGACTAACTCAAAACGTGTCAGACCCCATTTATATTTGTAGTTAATGTTGTCAGCCTGTAAATGGGATTTTTTTTTTATTTTATTGTATACAATACAATCAATGTTTGGATTTGATATATATCATTTTGTAGTGTTTATTGTAAAAAAATAATTGTAAAATGTCTTAAGGCATGATTGTTGAGTCATGCTGAAGTCATGCACATACTGTATATCTTAACTTTCCTCCACATCCAATGCACATGGTCTTATGCACAAAATATGCTGCTTTCCTCTCTCCACATGTGACTTAGAAATAAATTGTGGTCTGCTTTTGTTCTTGAACCTTTGTTCTGTGAGTGCAGGTCTCTCATGTAAACAGTTAGTTGCGTTTATTATTCCACAAAGGTTAGAAAGGGACTTCTTTTATCTCTGGTCTGTGCGCCATTGAACTATCAGACAAAATGTTCTTCCAACTTCCCCTCTTAATACTCCAATTGATTTATTTTAGCCTGAGGTTCAACAATATGTTGGACAGTAATGTTCTCTAACAAGCACAGTGGGTACCTGAGATTGGCTGGATTAGGTTTCCAATGCATATTAATTTAATCAGGCTGCATTGTTAGCAGATGTCACCCGTGGCCACCCTATTGATCTTCTCAACAGTATGTGTTACAGCAATCAATTTGGTCATTAGTGAGCTGCCAAGAGCTACATTAGGTGAATGGCAGCTCATCCCCTGATCCAGTTTATTACTAGTGGAGACAGTATTGCCATCTTTGTGCATCCTGTGATTATTACGATTGATTTCAATATAACTTTAAAGTAAATCTGAAAGGGAAATCTTTGTTTTTAGGATGTTTGTGTCAATATATTAGTCTTAACTCCTTCAAACTTGAACTATGTTCCAAGTTTCAGAAATGAAAGTATGTTTTAAAGTTCTTTAGGCTTCTTCAAATGAGACCAAATTCTAATAATAAAAATTCAACACCCTTTAAGTTTTTTTTTTTTTTTTTTTTTTTTTGTCTATATTTATGGGACATCAGGTCAGAACAGTTGTACTTTCCAAACATTATTTTCAGACTTACCAACATAAAATACAATTAAAAACATACATAATTGCTGGTATAATCTTGAAATGTATTTTCAAAATCACAATTATTAAGATAGCATTAAGGTAGCATTTTTGTACTTTACTTTTGAGGTTATTGTTTGTTTAGATTGCACCTTGTTTATGACAAACTTTATCTTCATCTTCCTCATAATTATGTCCACATCTGGGATATTTCTATCTGCTATACACTCGAACTTCAAGATCTGTATATTCTGCATATAAAATTGTTGCAACAATGAATTAGCCCATCAATATAGTCTTTTTTTTTTATATATAAAAAAGTTCAATCAGCATTATTGGAGATTTAGTAACAGATCCCATTGTACATCCTAATGGACAGACATTTGAAAATATTCTGATCTAAAGCTTGCAATGTTACAAAAGATTTTAAACTTTAATTAGTAAATGCAATCCCTCTTTTTTTTTTTTTTTTTTTACATACAATCTAAGAAATATTTACAAACATATCAATAAGTCTGAATAAAACACTGCTTACGTCTGAGTCTGGAGTGTAGAGGTTTTCTTTTCAAATTACAACACGCCGAGCCTTACTGCCTTTTTTTAGATGACAATCATCCACTCTCATGGACTGCAGGCTTTAAGTTCGATGAAATGCTCAGGAACCACAAAAAAAACATGGACTGACGTGATGTCCATTGTAATGGACACAGTCTGAAGGTGTTCATTTTTAAATGTTTATAAGGATGCTCCATAACAAAGATTAAATTGACATTTAGAAGATTTGGAATGCAAGTTTGTAATGCTTATTTCTCAGCTATCTTGTCAATATGGACCAAAATATCTAAGGAATATTTTCAGTACTTTGTTGAATCTATGCCACAAAGGATTAAGGCAATTCTGAAGGCAAAAGGCTGACATGGCATGACATCATTGCACACTTCAACTTCTTATTAGATCTTATCTGATCTAGCTCTTTAAAAACTGAAGCGTCTTATTAAAACAAGATGCATCTGACTTTGGTTGCAATGCATGTAATCAAGTGTTGGCCTAAACACTTGCATGTATAAGAAAATGATAAACATTTTCGACTGAAATCACACGTTTATTACTGTGATTAGTTTAGTTAAGTAAATCAGGTTTCAACAACAAATGGCAAAAAAACAAACAAAAAAAAATTTACAGTGTAGCATGCAAGACAAAAAGCATTGTTTACACCGACCCACAACTTTAACATAATCAAAATTGAGTCTATTACACACTCATTTACAATTTTGTTTGCTTAAATGCCACAGTCATAGGGGAAATATATAAGAACACTTATATATTATATATATTATATATTATATACTGAATGTGCTTTCCATTAAGGTGAATGAACGATTGGTCACTGGTTCACTAAACTGTCTGTATCATCTGTGTTTCATTCAGCATATAAAAAATAGTAAAGGTGTAACTAGGACTTCATTCTGAATGTCCTAGTTGCCTTTATGCTGACTATAAATAAAGGTGTATTTATAAATATATTCGTGGGTGGCACAGTGGCTCTGTGGTTAGCACTGTCGCCTCACAGCAAGAAGATTTAGTTTGAGTCCCGGCTGGGCGAGTTGGACTTTCTGTGTGGAGTTTGCATGTTCTCCTTGTGTTCGCGTGGGTTTTTCTCTGAGTACTTTGGTTTCCCCCACAGCCCAAAGGCATGTGCTATAAGTATATTGAATAAACTCAATTGGCCATGGTGTATGTGTGTGAATGTGGGAGTGTATGGGTGTTTCCCAGTGCTGGGTTGCAGCTGCAAGGACATCCACTGTGTAAAACATATGTTGGAATAGTCGGCAGTTCATTCTGCTGTGGTTACCCCTTTATAAATGAAGGGAATAAGCCAAAGGAGAATGAATGAATGAATGAACGAATGATGAATAAATATATTCAACCAGAAAGTGTTTTTTTTTTTTTACTGGAAATCACATGGCTTATGCCAAAAGATAATAAGACTGAACACAAAATAAGATATTTTGATGAAAGCTGGACTTTAAGACTAACATATTGATATTATAACACCTTAAAACTTTAATTGTGATTTCAGAGGAACTTTAACACCATGCTGGAGTGGTATTTTGTTGCAAATGAATCCGTACAAAAACACATTCCCACTCACCTCAACGTGCCAAGGTCAGTAAAAGACGAAATAGTACTTTCCATAAATAATTGAAGCCTAATTTTATGACCATTAGCATTTTTTCCACTGACACATTTTCTTGACCAATTTGAACATTTCGTCCAATTTAAGAATGAAAAGATCTGCACATGTTCTGTTTTATTTACCCTAAACTGATCAGACCTTTTCCACCAGACTTTTTTTTATTTTCAGGAATGAGAGCATGTGTCAGAAATTTAACCGTGAATGCAGTTTTTTCTTTGGCAGAGTTGCTGTGTTGATTGCTGTCGGATTTAGTTTAATGTTGTGCTAAAGATTAGGCTCAACTAAATCTCCTGTAATTTTTATTTATTTATTCATCTGTTGTTTTGAAGTTCAGGCTCTACATGATCTGAAAAAGCAACCCCCACTTTATAATGCAAAAGGAATCAGGCTACATCATCTTACAACCAACTCTTTGATGGATATTTTTCTCCAGCACTTTAGATTTGAACGGGGCACCACATCAAATGAGTCACAGTAACATTGAACAGAGATCCGGCCAATTTTGAGTCATCGCGCTGCGTTTATTTTCATGAGGGAAGCCAGCTTATTTGATTAAGATGTAATTGTGTGCAGAGTCCTCCTTGTACAGATGCACTTGAGCAGCAGGGGCACGAAAAATGCTCTGCTTGTTCCAAATCAAGAGAGAAGTCATGATGGCCTGTCACAACTAAACATGTTAGGAATTACACGCTTTACAGGCGCAGACGGGTTCAGCATGGCCGCCTCTGAAAACAGGTGTGTAATCTAGAGCTCTACCACGGAAAGTGGGAATTTGAGAGAGAGGGAAAAAAGGTGAAACTGGGTGCTGGCGAATAATGAGGGCTATTACAAGATTTTGTAATCAGGGGTCAGCCACCATTTGGACAAAGTGCATGTTTAGTAGTTTCAGTAGTGAATCTGTTTTTACTTTATAAGAAATAATTAATCTTATGATATTCATATTTATGCATGTTTTTCTTATATTACATAGTAAATATTTGTAATTATTCAAAATAATAATTTGTATTATGTTAAAATTATTTGTTAAAAACATTTTATTTTTCATTTTAAATTGTTAATTTAAATAAGATTAATACACTTTAAAATATAATTTACAGTTAAAGTCAGAATGATTAGGCCTCCTGTAATTTATTTATTTATTTATTTATTTTATTATTATTATTTTCTTAAAATCTTTTTTTTTATGTACACTCACTAGGCACTTTATTAAGTACACTTTACTAGTACCAGGTTGGACCCCCTTTTGCCTTCAGAACTGCCTTAATCTGTTGTGGCATAGATTCAACTAGATACTGGAAATGTTCCTCAGAGATTTTTTTCCATATTGACATGATAGCATGACGCAGTTGCTGCAGATTTGTCTGCTGCACATCCATGATGCGAATCATTGTCATTATCAAGAAAGCAGTCTGAGATGATTCACGATTTGACATGGCGCTTTATCCTGCTTGGAAATAATTATCAGAAGATGGGCAGACTTTGGTGATAAAAAGATAAACATGGCAATGACACAATGCTCAATTGGTACTAATGGGCCCAAAGTGTGCCAAGAAAATATCCCTCACACCATTACACCACCTCCACAACCTGAACCGTTGCTACAAGGCAAGGCGGATCCATGCTTTCATGTTACTGATGCTAAATTATGACCGTACCATCTGATTGTTACAGCAGAAATTGAGACTCATCAGACCAGGCAACGTTTTCCAATCTTATATTGTCCAATTTTGGTGAGCCTGTGTGATTTGCAGCCTCAGTTTCCTGTTTTTAGCTGACAGCAGTGGCACTTGGTGGTTTAGCTCATCTGCTTCAAGGTTGGATGTGTTGTGCGTTCAAAATGCTCTTTTGCAGACTTCGGTTGTAATAAGTGGTTATTTGAATTACTGTTGTCTTTATATCAGCTAAAACCAATCTGGCCATTCTCCTCTGGCCTCTGGCATCAACAAAGCCTTTACGCCCATAGAACTGCCGCTCACTGGATATTTTCTCTTTTTGGGGCCATTTTCTTAAACCCTAGAGATAGTTGTGCGTGTCAATCCCAGTAGATCATCTGCTTCTGAAATACTCAGACCAGCTTGTCTGGCACCAGCAACCATGTCACGTTCAAAGTCACTTAAATCACATTTCTTCCCCATTCTTAGGCTCGGTTTTGAACTGCAGCAGATCGTCTAGACCTTGTTTACATGCCTAAGTGCATGGAGTTGCAGCCATGTGATTGCCTGATTAGAAATTTTTGTTAATGAACATTTGGACAGGTGTGTGGCCGGTGAGGATTTTTTTTCACAGTATTTGCTTTTTTTTTTTCTGGAGAAAGTCTTAATTGAATAATTTCAGCTAGAATAAAAGTTATTTAAAAAATATATATATATACACACACACACACACACACACACACACACACACACACACACACACACACACACACACACACACACACACACACATATATATATATATATATATATATATATATATATATATATATATATATTGTACAGTCAATCATATTACACCCCTTAATCAATATTTTTTGATTGTCTACAGAACAAACAGTATACAATGTCTTTCCTAATTACCCCAATTAACCTAGTTAAGCCTTTAAATTGCTCTTGAAGCTGAATTCTAGTATCTTGAAAAATATCTAGTATAATATTGTTTTGTCATCATGGCAAAGCTAAAATAAATCAATTATTAGAAATGAGTTATTCAAAATATTATATTTAGAAATGTTAAAAAAATCTTCTCTCCATTAAACAGAAATTGGGGAAAAAAATATACAGCAGGGCTAAAATTTTTGACTTCAACTGTATATTACAAAAAACACCAATAAATACGATAGAATACATTCATAAATGAAAACAAAACAAGTTTTTTTTAGGGTAGCTCGTCGATAAATGCTAAGAAAGTATTAGATTGATATACATGTGTTAAAGTCATTAAAAAGCATAAGTTGAATACACTCATTTTGTTTGTGCAGTGATTACCTCTCCAAGTAATTGTTTATCTTTCTTTCTTCCCCCCCAGAAACTCTTAAAGAGCACACGTGGATAATACGGATGACTGAAACTTCCCATCACATCCCTTTGTTTGATCAACAACCCTGAGCCTTTTACCTAATTTTTACTTTAAAACTTTATTTTGTGTGAGCTATTATATCTGGGACCGTCAAAGATTTAATTCTATTATTTCCTTAGGACTTTTTTAACTTACTGTGGAATTTGCGTTTTCTTGTTCCAATTTTGGGTCTGATATCAGCATGTGATCCGTGAAGACGTTGAACCTGTGTAAACAGTGGATGATGGACAGTATCTAGCCCAGTTATCTAAAGCAACACATGTGTCCTTCATCTCTTTGGATAGTATTATGATTAATACCTGTAAATAAACAATTTGTACCACTTAACTTGGGTAGCACACGGCTGAGTAAATGTGCAGTGTTTTTTTTCCATGCTCTCTAAAGCAACAAGAAATTTGGCACTTAGCCATCGACAACATTGCAACCATTATCTGTGGCTTGCTCACGTAAGGAGGTTTTCAGCGGGTAACTTCTATCAGATGATATTTTGCTCTCTCTTGTTGACTCAGTATCAAATGGATGTCTTTTAACAAGATGGTATTTTTTGATTTCAGATTCAATCATTGCTGTTAGAGCTGTAAGAAAATACATGGGTAAATCTAATAAAATATGTGTTAAGATCATATCCTGTAGCCTTATGTGGAGAACTTGCACTGATTTAATTTGTATGCAAAAGTACGATTTTTTTATTTTATTTATTCATTTATTTTTTAATTTCCAGATTTGTAAACAAATCAAATGCAAGAATCTGCCCCCAAATTCCTTTTAGAAATTTTGCTCTGAAAGATTGGGCGTACATGCATCCATCTATACCCCATGTCCTTCAATGAAATAAACATAGACAGAGCTTACATCTCCTATAGTTACTATGCATCATTATATCTGTGCATCATTGACCCAGTTTACATAGACATCAGTAATCAATTCAATTCATGGTTATTTCTATAGCGCTTTTACAATGTAGATTGTGTCAAAGCAGCTAAACATATAATATACGTTCTAGTAAATTGAAACTGTAAGTCCAGTTTTCTAAGTTGAAGTTCATTTAAGTTCAGTTCAGGCTGGTTTAAATTTCGCTGCAAGTGAAAACACTGAAAAGCAGATCCATTGATGCAAATACAAGCAAGCCAGTGGCAATAGTGACAAGAAACAAAATTTTGATGAAACACCAATTGACGAAAGTGAAGGAAAAAAGGAAGGAATAAAATTTAATTATTTGCCTTAATCTCAATAAGACAATATTATGATTAAGGTGTTTACATGAGTTGCTTTTTGAATGCTTCTTTCATGATCCCATTTAACATGTTATTGCACATAATTTGAGTAATGTCATTGCATCATCGCGTTATCCCCATTATCCCTGGAGTTTCTTTTTAATTGTCGACTTTAACTGCAGTTTGACACTTTCACTCTCAATCAGGAACATTTTCATGCATGTCCCCATGACAAACAAAATATTGAACTGCGAGTATGAAGAATGTTGTTGGGGGGGGAACACCTAAAATTTAGGTGTCTGTGGTCCTTCACAGACTTTGTAGGTGCAGAGAATAGTGTCAAACAGGTGTGTGAATAGACTATCCTGTCGCAAAATGCGGCAAAAAGCCTACATGATGGTAATAGTTTGATTAGGGTATTTACATGTCTGTACTGTTACTAAAATCTGCATACTCCACGTCTTAATCTGATTTATGTTTAGTTTGATTATGACTTTAGTTGGATTAAGGTCATAAAAAAACGCTTTTTACATGGAAGACGGTTAATCAGAGTACTGTCTTAATCGTATAAAAGTATAAAAGAGTAAACTTAATCGTATAAAAGAGTAAACATACTCATTTTCATACTTATTCTCCTAAAATGGATTATTCCTTTTGAGTGTTTAATGAGAGAGAGAGACACACACACACACACACACACACACACACACACACACACACAGTTCCTATATCCCTGTGGGTAATCTTATGATTAAATAATTTATAAGAATGTATGATGAGTTTAATTTTGGTCCCCACTGGTAACATATGTCCCCATGTGCATTAAAATTGAATTCACACAGACACAAAAATGTAATACTATATTGCAAAAGATAAGTTAAATAAATATGCCATTCAAATGTTTGGTAGTATTTCAGTATGCTTATTGACTAAAGACTGCATGCAATAAAGTAAAAAAGTGATTATTGTAAAACATTATTTCTATTTTGATATATTTTAAAAAGGCATTTCTTTTTGTGACGGCAAAGCTGAATTTCCAGAAGTCATTGCTCCAATCTCAAGTGCCACATGCTAATTCCAATATTTAAATTTTTACTATTTTGGAAAGATTTACGTGTTTAAGTAATGCACTGGTTGCTTTTTTGTGGAAACTAATATTTTCAGGATATTTTGAAAAAGATAAGAAATAGACATTTGTTTTGTAATTGCTTTCACCTTTTGATTTAATGTAATGCTTTTTTTTTTTAAATAAACATTTATTTCTATAAAAAAAAAAATAGAATATGCAGCAACTTCAAATGGCAACCCCGACTGTCAGTTCTGTACTGCTCTGCTAGTCTTGCCTATGTTGTGTGTGTGACCAGAGAGCCTGACCCCAGGACCACAGGAAAGTAAATGTTTGGGTCTCACTTTTCGGTGTATAACACCGTTGATCACATGACCTGGGAGTCACCCTGCTCTAATCCTTCTGTCAGAATTAATTGGGCTGCCAGGGATTGATCAGTGTAGTGTTTGTACTTTCTGCCTGCCTTTAGGTTTTGAGAAGAATTGCCTCTTGATAACAGCTCTGAATGTTTTCCAGACCTCTGAATCCACCACTCCTATCTTCATCTTTCATGTACCGGTATGCCATCTTCATCAACATCTATCTTCATTTACAGGAACAGTACTGTTTGTTTTTTTTAACATCATTGTCTTTTCTTTAAGCTTTGTGCTTGTCATTTAGTCCTTTTTTCAGGAGCAGACTGTAGAATCAGGGATCATGATTCACCTTGTCAAATATGACCAGAAGAGGGCAACAATGAGAATATGTGTAGACATTTTTATCATTTTTTTATTATTCGCAATGTTTACTTTATTTTGGATGCTGTTGAAAATGGATACCACATATGCTAATACAAAACATTTGGTCATTTTCCACAGTTTATATTTATCCTTATCTCCAGAACAACTTTAAAGTAATAAATTAACCATGCATTATGATATTTTTATCTTAAGTATATCTTTCAGATGTGACTTAAAGCTTCTTTGGATCAAAGTGGAAAAGAGGTATCAGATAATTCTTTCATCTAAATGTATTGCTGTGCTCTCAGAAGAAAATATACTGGGATGAAGAACTGTACAAAGGTAAATCTTTAGAAATAAATTATTCCTGCAGTCCTTAAGTTTAAATGAACATACTCTTTAATCAAGAATACTGTATTAATTATTGTACGTATTATTCTCCTTTTTGTTTTAGTTTATGTGGCCTTGTGACCTTTAATGAAAACAACTGGCCCTATTATTCTGTCACCCAAATGAGATTAACCAATAGCAAACCACCACATCAGTTGTTTAAGGACAAAATCTTTCACTAAGGTTTTACTGTACATTTAATTTAATTGGAAACGTTTTTTCACTCATACACTTGCATCAAACACTGTTATTTATATCTTGCAAGTACTGGGACGTTTTGCCTTCATAACTACCTTATATTTTAATGGCAGTGAGCTAGAAACAGTCCTTGGAGTTTTGGGCAATACATGATAGCACCATTTAGACTTGCATATGTGTCAGCTACACAACCTTGGTGCAAGTCTTCCTGTCTGACCCTACCATCCAAGTGTTCCAGCTGAAAATAAGGGCGTACTCCCACTATGTACAGTTGCCTTGAACAGGGCCAAAGCACGCTTGTCCCCCCCCTCCCGTTTCCCCCGACGGCCTGCACTCACATTACATTCGGGCCTGGGCATGCTTACGTCATCGATGATGCGCTGTTCAGTAAGCGCTCTCGCTCAGCACAGTGGAGATTTCTTTAGTTATATCGTTTAAGTTGTTTGATATGCAGTGACACGCAGTCAAATAATCCACCGAACAGATCAGCAACTTTTGACGCTCATAAACAATCATAAGTTCCTTGTGTTGCAAGAAATAGGAGGTTTGCTAAATGTGCGCAGCTGTCATGCAGTGAGGGGTTTGCGTCTTTAATAAACTACGACTGTTTGCGTTCACTGAACAGTAAGAATTATTAATTAATCCATATCAAACAGCCCCTTAAAAGTCACGTCTTGCCTTTAGTTTTGGGCTTAGGCGCGTTTTGCACTCACACACAAGCGTACTGTGCCAAAGCCCAAGTGAACCCTATTCAGAGCACTCCGGGAAACGGGCCTGGGCACGTTTCGGATAGCATAGTGTGAGTAGGCCCTAAGACTCATTAAACCGTTTTTAGTCTTTTGTTGTCCAATGGGATATATGCACAGCTAGAGTTTTATAGCCAACGATAAACTTCCGGTGACAGCTTAATGCGACTATATTCAATTTTATAAGGCTCCTTTTACAGCATCATTGTTTTAATGTAATTACAATGCATTCCATTAAATAGACCTAAGCATTCATTTAGTTGTTCAAGTGTAAAACGACATGAAAGACTGTAACTGTTAGCGCCGTCAGTAGCAGCAGGCGAGCACAGAAACTCCATTGAAAATACTGGGGTAAAATAAACTCATATTTTAAAGACATGGCGGGGGAAATGTAATTTAATCTAGGCCTTCTTGTGTGGTCTGAGACCCACTTCATATTGTATATCCATCAGACAGTGAAGATCACTGCTTTTTTTTATGAAATCAGACCTTTAACGTGCCAATTTTATAATGGAAAGATGGTTCACCAGAAGTGCTGAGACTGGCTGGCTGAAATTAAAGGTTTCTGTGCATATACTCCATTTTGTTGAGTCTGTAGCTGCGTCCCAAATCGCATACTTATGCACTATTCTACGCCATTTTGTAGTATAAATAGTGTAAGTAGTGTGTTCACACTGAAAACTCTAAAAATAATAAGTGCACTTTAATTACCCGGATTATGCACTCATTTAGCCGCTAAAATGAATTGTGGAATGATGGACACTTCACGCACTCAACGACCGCAGGTTTGCTTGTGTAGCGGAAGGGGTGGAGCTATCGGACGCACATGTTGAATAACTTTATTTATTTTGGATGGTGAAAGCAAAATTCTCCTACGAGAGTGATTATAGCGCCTCCCGATGGTGAATGCGGCAATACTCACGGCAGGTAATATTTGATAAGTCGGCCGTTTATTTCACTGATTTGGCAACCGTCAAACGTCATCAGGGAAACGTTTTGAATTTCCGTTTAGTCAAAAAACATTAGTGTGCCATTTGGGACGCCACTACATACATGTACTATCCTGTTGAGTGTGTAAGTGCATAAGTGCATACTTTGTACTTTTTGTTTCTTGGCTACTTTGCTATTACCAATGGACAACAATATTGTTTATTCGCCCCCTTGCCCTAATTAGCTACCTTGTGTCTTATTTGAATGCCCATTAATGACATCAGTTTACCAGCAACATTGCTCCTGCATACTAGTAGCAATAGATTATTTTCTTAGCTGACTGAATTGTGATCAACAGCT